TGGTTAACACTGTTGAGTTCTGCTCTCTGCTCTTGGGGCTGCATGAGTCACCCCTGATAGCAGCAGAAGGGATCATGTTTTATGAGCAGGAGGCAGACTCTACCTCCTAGCCTATAACAAGGGGAGATTTCCTCTCTGCCTGCTCCCCTTCTCATCATGGATAGCTGCAGGAGCGAGGCTCCTGCTGTGCCGTTCAGTCCATCCTCATTATCCTTGCTGCCATGAAACCCAGCCAGATAGCAGCCCTGCTCTATGGAGCAAGAAATCTGCTGGCATCTGAGGCATCTTGTCCTTAGGAGGTCACACAGTTAGCTGCTGAACATGATGAGATCCCGCAGTTGGGGTGGCCTTTGGGCTACTAAAACAACAAGCAGAGCTCAGGAGCGAAACCACAGCCTTCCCTTCCAGCAGCCCATGGGTAGTCATGGCAATGATGACTACAGCCAGGGCCACCTTGTATGACTTCGAGCCCTGCCCTTCTTGGGTGGTAACGCCAGGCAGAAATACCCAGGGCTCTTCCTGAAAGCTATTGTTAACAGTCCTTTGCAGAAGGAATTTAGCACTTCCTCTCCAACATGCATGAGCCCTGGCAGTGTTACGGCAGCTGCTGCTCAGGATTACAAGCTCCAAAGTGTTCCCACCACCCTTGCAGCACGCAGGGTGGGTTTCCCCCCTGGAAGCCCTCCTACCTTCCTCTGGATTTGTGGGAGCCCTGTCATATACCCATCAGAAGCTGCTGAGAGCATAGCAAGCACACGCACACAACAGGACCTGTGCAACAACAGGATCCGTGCCACAGAGATCCGTGGCACAACAACAAAGCAGATTGGGTGGATTTTCCAGATAAATCCAATAGGTACAATCTCGAAGGATGGATAATTTGGGCAGTTCTGATAATGCGCCACTAGACATTTAAAATCAGCACCATTAAGAGAAATTTACGCCCCTGGCACCTTTCAGCTGGCTTGTACCAGTGGCTTGTCCTCTCCCTGCACTGTGCTGCCCAGGAGCAAAGCTCTTCGCCCCCTTTCTGTCCTCCCGGGGTTCCCCGGGCTCAGGGGTTGCCCACAGCTCCCTCCAGATTTTAAATGCCGCTGACACCTAGTGCTGGTTCCCTCAACTACAGCCTGAGCTGCAAGAGAAGCCCTAACGCTGATGGATGAAGAGCTGAGGTTTTGTGGTGTTCACGGTTTCATGTTCCTCGCTCTTCTGGAACCAGCTTCATCTGCCTCCTGCTTTATGAATGCAAAGAGGTGCCTGAACGGTGTTGTCACAGTGGTGTGACACACAGACAACACAGTGGAATGGTATTGTCCTGTTGGGACAGGACAGTACCACGAGGTCCGTCCACATCAGCAACAGTCATGCAACAGGAGTAAATCTCTAAGGGGACTAGGATGGTGCTGAGGGTCCAGTGTCTCCACTGTGCACAGGGTGAGAGGCAAGTGGAGCATCTTCCATCTCTTCAGAGAATGACCAGTGCTCTCACTGGTTCTGGCACATCTCTGTTCATCTTCTCAACCAACTTCCTGGAAAGAGTTCAAACGCTCCTGCTGCCAGAGCATGGTCCTGGCATGCCGGCTGAGACCCTGCCTGAGCAGCTCCCGCTACCCCAGGAGGCTCTGTGGCAGCCTGCTCATCCTCCAACACCGAAATGCTCACCCAGGGATAAGCTGATACTCATATTGCTCAGGGGAAAAATCTCCCCTGGACCAGCTCCACCAGTTCTATGTGCTGGACAGCCCAGCCATGGAAATAAGGACTTTACTTCTTGGAAGCTTAAAGCTGTCCATGAAGGCTAAGGGATATGCTTGGACAACCAAGGTAACGCCAGCATCCCAGCCCCTCTGACACATCTCTGAAACCCTCCCACCATCATCTGGTGTCATAGATCAGTAACTCCAGCACAACTGTGCCCAGGGATATCTGGAGCTATAGACAAGCAGCAAGAATGCTGTAGAAATAGAGTTGCTTTGCTAAGTTTTACTATGATTAATAATCAGTGGTGGGGGTGTCAGTGATTAGTCAAATTGTGTTGTACCTGCATGCCTGAAGGGTATAAGAACCATGTGTAAAAACCACACTGGGGTGCCCCAATTTGGCTGGGACACCTCATGTCCCAGTATGAATAAATATTCACTCCGGCAGTTTGTGTCCCAGCCTCTCTCCTTGGTCGTCTCAGGGCAGTTATGAAATTTTCTAACACCCATTGGATGGGGTTTGCTCTCCTGGGATGGGGAATGCCGATGTCCCTGGGCTTCCTCTGCCTTTGGCACACCTCCCTCTGGCAGCAGCTGGACCCACTGTACAAAATGATTAGGTTTACACCAAGATGCAAGCCCCCCATCAGTGATAGGGATGGGATTTTGCTGCAAAGCAAGGAAAATACATAGGTGCAGCAACTAAAGAAGTGATGTTATTGGCACTGATGAATCAGAGAAAGAAGTCACAGATAACAAACCCACCTGCCGAAGGTCAAGGCAGACACTCACGCCAGCAAAATGCAGTGTCTGGCCTCACTAAATGATGTGTCTGAGCCAGAACAGCAAACACAGCAGTGAGACTTCCCTGAGGAGCAGGTGGCGAGAGAAAAAGTAATGGCTTTTTGTTCTTTTTCTACAGGCGGCTGTAGCTGTCAGGGCTCAAACCCATCAGGAGGTTACATGGTGTCACAGGTCAGCTGTGCACGAGCAGCACTGTGAGCATGGGAACCCATTTTGCTTAGGCTTCAATAACAAGGAGCCAAAAAGATTCATCACATCATCCTCAATTTGCCTAAATTTGCACGGTGCAAGGTGCGTCCTTGGCACAAGCCTGTTTGTTTATTGAGCAGCGCAAAGGGAGAATGAGACATCAGGAGATATCTTACAGATTTATAATTTCTCTGCAGCTTTGCCTTCTAGTTCCAGCTCTGGGCTGATTTAGTCACCAGTTCCCTCCTTCTGATTTTTTATTTTCGGTGAATATTAGCTCAAGCAACTTCTATCAGCAAAAAAAAAAAACTTCCCAGTCCCTCACTCCTACTTCTACACCCTTCGGTGTAGCCTGGTAGCAGGTCAGATGGAAGACATGGTCTGCTGGAAGGAAAGCCCATCAAAATGATGGCCATTTCCAGCTGGCCCAGCTCTGTGTTGAGCACAGCTACGTGGGACAGGGTGCGGTGCCAGGCTGGGAACTGGGGCAAAAAGTGTGATGGATGCAGGAGATCGGAGCTGCCAAAATGGGAAGGGGGAAACTGGCAGCCACTAAAGCAAGTTCTGCCATCAGGAAGCTACTTGTGAAAAAAATACACGTTTGCTGTCTTATTTTTTTGCTGATGATCTTAATTTTACTGAATGTGTAAGATTTGCTTTAGCAAAACAAATATCACTCTTGGGTTTTTGCCATACCATGAATTTTTAATGCTTTATTAGAACTCTGGAGGGTTTCAGCCCAGTCTGTGACTGCTTAATAGAGCAAAACTCCGCTTCGTTACCTGCTCATGCACCACGGGGGCCATCTGTCCTCAGGATTGAACAGCTGGGAAACCAAGCCCAGCTGCCAGCTAATTCCGCACAAATGAGGTACCCTTTGCAAAAAAGCCCTCTTTGAAAGTTGTTCCGCATCTTCATGTGCAAAAAATAATTATTTTTTTTTTTAGAAAGGATTTTAGGACTCTTTGGGATCAGACAGAGCTTTCACTACCTGATAAACAACTGGTGCTGAGTGCCAAAACCAGCAGTCAGAGAGGAAAAAGGTGTGCAAAGGCTTTGTTAGGGTGCAGTCCAAGAGAATTGAACTGTCCAGTTTTGAAAATGTTTTGTCTTTTTCTTAAATTGTCCCTTCTTCCGACGTTCTTCACAGGTTACCTTCTATTAACCTCTGCTATTGCACTGCAAAAGCCTGTGATTGTCTCTTGGCTGTAACGCTTCATTCTTCTGCTGTGATCTTACCTTCTTCCTCCTCTTCTCCCTCCCTGTTGGCTGTGACCACTGGTGTTGGCTTCACATGAGACCACGTTTTGTGCAGCACTCCCTGCCTAGCAGTGTTAAGTATCATTTATACCACAAAGTTGTCCTGACACATAACTCCAGTCAAATAATGTATAAAAACATTAACCAAAAAGATTCATCAAACAAAAACTCCTCAAGGAACCCCAAACCTGGGCAGCAAACAAATGTAATTAATTACATGCATCTATATTGATTAGTATGCACTAATTTGCTTTGTAATTTTTGTATTTAGGCTCGTTGTGTATAGCAAAGAGTTGTGGTCCACAAAGGTAGCTGCAAGAACCAGAGGTGATCAATGCTTAAAGGGTCAGTGTCAAGGGATGGTGTCAAGAGGATGGGGCTGGTCTTTTTTTAGTTGTGCCCAGTGACAGGACAAGAGGAAATGGGCACAAACTTGAATATAATAAGTTCCACCTACACATGAGGAGGAACTTCTTTACTTTGAGGGTGGCAGAGCCCTGGGAGAGGCTGCCCAGGGGGGTGGTGGAGTCTCCTTCTCTGGAGACATTCAAAATCCACCTGGACACGTTCCTGTGCAACCTGCTCCGGGTGGACCTGCTCTGGCAGGGGGTTTGGACTCCATGATCTCCAGAGGTCCCTTCCAACCCCCTGTGATTCTGTGATGCTGTGCAAGTGGCAGTGGTGGCCGGCAGCAAAGAGCCAGGGCTACGAAGGTGCAGGGAAAGGGGGGGAATGAAAAAAAAATATCGAAAATAAATAAAAAAGCACTACAAAAATGCACTGAAAAATGCATTTGGGGAAAAAAAAATATGTGTTGGGGGGGAAAATGCCAAGCGCAGCCACGCTTTGCCCAGGCACCGCCCCGCTCCCGCTCCCAGGGGCGGCCGGAAGGGGGCGCGCCGCTCTGGCCACGCCCACACCGCGTGCGTCAGCGGGCCGAGACGGCGGCGTCGGCCAATGGGAGGTGGCGGCGGGGCCGGCCCCTTCGGAGCGGCCATTCCCCGAGCGGCGGAGGGGGCTGAATGGGGCGGGTCACGTGATGAGGCTGGTTGCCACGCCCCCCCTTCCCCTCCGCTCGGTGCCGTTATGGAGCCGGGACCGGGGGCGCAGGTGGTGCCCGGGTGCTGGGGCACGGTTGTCTGCGTGCTGACCGGCGCCTCCCGGGGCTTCGGGCGCAGCCTGGCGCGGCTGCTGGCCCCGCGGTTCGGCGAGGGCTCGGTGCTGATGCTACTGGCGCGTTCGGCGGCGCCGCTGGCCGAGCTGGCGGCCGAGCTGCGGGACGGCGGCGGCACCGGGCTGCGGGTGGAGTGCGTGACCGCCGACCTGGGCTGCCAGCAGGGCCTGCGGACGGCGGTCGCTGCTCTGCGGGAGGTGCTGCCTGCCGCCCCTCCCGGCCGCCTCCTCCTCGTCAACAACGCCGGTAACGACGCGCTCCCTGTCCCGTCCCGCCCCGAGCTCGCTGCCCTTTGCCTCCCCCGGGGCGGCGGGGCTCAGCCCCGGAGAGCCCTCCCTTGGTTCTGCCAGGGCTGAACCGAGGCTTGGTTCGTGCTTTGGGTGCCGGTAAATGACCCAGCCGGGTAAATAACCCCAGGAGCAGCAGGGATTTCACGCGGATCTTATTATTTTATCAAAGGGATTAATTTGGGGTCAGACCGAGCGGGGGTGGTTCGCTGCCAGGACCCTGGTGCTTTGCTGCTCACCAGGTTTTACCCCTAACTCCTGGCACAGGACCAGCTGGTGCCACCCTCCTGCATCCTCCTACTCTTCTGCTCCCTGACTGCAAACTTGAGAGAAACTTCTAGCCCCACGCCTTGTGGGTGTTTCACTTGCAGCCTTTAGTGTGCCTTTTTTAACCCATTATCATTAAAAACAAAGGCTACGTGTTCCAGCAGGTAGTAGGTGCTACAGGAGTTGGGTCTTTTACTGTCCCAAAAGAGGGGCATGCAGGAGAACGCGTGGGGGCCTATGGGGATGTTGTACTTCAGGCTGGAGGTTGGGAGCTGTTTGTTTTGGCAAAGGATTGTCCGGGCAGGTCTCTGTCCCACGTCGCTGCTGTTGGTTCAGCAAGTGACCCAAAAACAACGAGCAGAGCTGGGCTGTGCTGAGCTCCTTGCTCTCCTGTGAGACCCTGCTAGAGGTTGGGCCAGCAAAACTGTAGTAGCGTGTTGCACATAGAAATGTAGGAGCAAAAGGGATCTGCTGTGTCGTTGCACCCATCTTTACCTACTTTAAACTCATTTGCCCTTCCTTCCTTCCTAGGCTCCTTGGGAGATATCTCCAAATCCTTCCTCGACCTCACTGACCCAGATGAGATCAACAGCTACTTTGCCTTCAATGTCACCTCAGCGCTTTGCCTCACCTCTGCTGCCCTGCAAGCCTTTGAGAAGAGGCCTGGCTCGAGCAGGACGGTGGTGAACATCTCCTCGCTCTGTGCCATAAAGCCCTTCAAGAACTGGGCACTGTACTGCAGCGGGAAGGCTTCCCGGGACATGATGTTCCAGGTGCTGGCACTTGAGGAGCCTGATGTCCGTGTCCTCAACTATGCCCCAGGTGAGGAGAGGAACTCATTAATTGCTGCTAGTTCTCTCCTGGCTTTGTGGATAAAAGGTTCTTGCAGCTGAGTCAGATGCAGAAGGAAAATGGGCCCCAGATTTTGCTTTTACTTTATGTGATTTCTTTTTTGTTGCTATTTCTCCAGGTCCCTTGGACACTGACATGCAGCTCTTGGCCCGCACTAAGACCAGAGACCCTGAGATGCGTCAATATTTCCAAAGCCTGCAGGAGAGCGGGCACCTGATAGACTGCACCGTGTCAGCCCAAAAGCTGGTGAATCTCCTGGAAGAGGACACCTTCAGCTCCGGTGCCCATGTGGATTTCTACGACATCTGAGTTACTCTTTCCTCCTCCTTTGCCTTCCTGCTTTGCTTTCTGCTGAGCTGCATTGGGTGCCTCCAGTGTGTTTGGCGACTGTGTTTGAGCCCTGGGTGCTCTTGAGCTTTCAAGATCTCTGAGTGCCTTACAAATAATCCCAGTGCCCTGGTGAGCATGGGGAAAGTTATTGCTTTGCTGTGCTGTAGCCATTGAGCCCTCCTGGGCACCTGCTGGCAGGAGCAGGGACTTCTTCGCTGCTGGGGATAGGGGAGCCAAGGTGGCTTTTCCAAAGGAATGGGCATGGGGGCTTTAAGCTCTCCTGTGCAGGAGTGTGTGCAAGCCAAGAAGGTGCTGAGGCATGCAAGGCCAGGTCAGAAAACCACTCCAGAAGGTCTCAAAAAAGTCAAGAGTAGAGTTAGAGCTGAGCATCCCTGTGTCTGTCCTCTTTGCTCCCCAGGGGCTGTGTGCTCAGCACCCCAGCAAGTCACCAAAGGGCGAAAGAGCCATTCCTGGGGCCAGAGGATGTGACTGTCACTGCAGAGCCCTGACTGTCTGTCCCCTGTCTCACCAGTGACTTGTCCAGACTCTCCTGCAGTTCTGGGATCGTCTCTGTGCAAGTTTTTGTGCATTAAGATGTGGAGCAAAGCCTGTCCCTGTGGTTTTTGCACAGAGGCAGTAAATCACCAGGAGAGGGAGCTGGCTGTGGAGGAGATGTGAACTTTGGGTGCCCGGTTGGGGTCACAGCTTGTATAAACACGTGCACAAGCACAGCATGGATTAGAGCAAACTGAGACACAGCCCTGAGTTTGTCATGCTTCTCTTCACAGGTTCTGGGTCCAAGCCTGAATCTGGGGCTTGAGCCCCTCCTGGGTAGTTCTTTTAATTGTTTGTGGGGTTTTATACTCTTTTTTTTTTTTTTTTTTTTTTTTGGGGAAAAGGGCCAGGGGGGCCCCCCTTCAGTTCCTTTCATCTTTCCTTTTTTTTTTTTTTTTTTTTGCTTTTTTTTTTTTTGCTGTTAATAAAGCCCAGGATTGAAATCAACTTAAATTGTTTTGAACAAAACGGTTAAAAACATTATAAAGAGATTAAACAAGCAGACTGAATTCTTAGAAACATCTAACATGCAAAACCTGTATTTGTTTTTTTTTTTTTTTTTTTTTTTTTTTTTTATCAGGTTCCAGGAGGCACAGGCACTTACAGACTTGCCCTTCTAGAAGGCAGCTGGTCTGCAGTGTCTTTTGCAGTGACATTCCCTGTGTGCCCTGGAAATGCCCAGTGTTCCTCTGCTCAGTGACAGCAACCTTCCTGCAGTCCTCTATCTCAACCCTGTGTTTCAAATTTTGTTCATCTAAATCTATAATTATTAAAAGCTTCATGTCTGGTCTGGGTCTTTCTGCTTTATCTTTAAAAGTGGATAAATTTGGAGGAGGAGAGAGTCTGGATTAAGCACTGTCTTGATCTAGCAAGGCACCACACATGCCCTCCTGGAGTCCTGTTCTTCCATGTCTGATCCATTTCATTAACTCTGTGTTAACTTAAGCCTGTCAAGCTCAAAAAAAACAAACCCAAAAACAACCCTCTCCAACTAGTTTGCAGCTTGGTTTTGTCTTCCTTCTATGCCTGTGAAACTCACTGTTAGCAGAAACCCCTCTGCTGCTCACCCCTCTGGGCAACAGGGCTATTTTTCTGGGGTTTGACACCTGATGTGGTGGTCTGTGCAATCTGGATAGACATGCTGCTGCTAAAAATCCCCCATCATCTCACCCTGCACCTGTATGGGCTTGTCCTATCCCCTATTGGGTAGAAACCCTCTTTTGGGATCTGACTCTCTGCAAATGTATAGCACCAGCACTCAGAGCTGGGGGTCCCAAGTCCTGCCTTTACAGGGACTTGGACCGTGGACTGTCAGGGGCTGGGTGGAAGGTAGGTAAGCCTTCCTGGAAAGGCTCAAGATGGCCTATATTGTAGGAGGAGATGGGAGAGTGCTCAGGGATTGGTCTGCTCTGGTGCAGGGATCATTTTGTACCAGGTGGGTGGGAGATGCAGATAGGTTCTTCAGGATAAGACACGTTAAAAGCCAGGGTACACAAGGGGGAGGATTAGTTTTGAACTGTGCCTTGCTTCAAGTCTGACCACCTTCTAGTGGCTGGGGGTATATCATCAACTCTGTGTGTTGTCTTGGAGCATCTGTGTGAGGGGTTGTGGTATCAGAGATGCCACTTGAAACCAAGCAGTTCACCCCAAACCTCTTCCCCAAGAGAGCATATATGTATAGCTAGGGAATGCTGACTCTAAATAGCAATGTGCTTAGGCCCTGCTGCACTTGTTGATGAAATCATAATGAAACGCTGGACTTGATTCATAGCATGGTTTGATTGGAAGGGACCTTCAAAGAGCATCTAGTCCAACCCACCCTGCCATGGGCATCTCCCACTATATCTGATTCCTCAAAGCCCATCCAACCTGACCTTGAATACTTTCAAGGATGGGGCAGCCACAACTTCTCTAGGCAACCAAATGGGTCTTGGTGTCCCTGTCCCTTCAACCAGGAATATCTACAGCTGCTCAAAGAGGAAATCTGTTGCCAGCATCAAGCACGTACCCAATGTGAATCCTATGGCTGCAGTGATGAGCTGTGGCTCTCGCTGCTGAATTTTGCTGGTGAAGCAACCACATGCTCAAAGTTCAATGGACTAAGTTTGTCTTCAGCTCAACCACCCATCACTTGACTGTGCTCCAAGCTGTTGTCTGGATGTTTTATTTTCAGGGGTTTCATCCCCTTGGACTCACTGTCCCTGTGTTTAGGTCACTCTCTGATCCCCAGGGACACCCCAAGCTTGTGACTGACCCCAGGAGCAGAGCTCTGCCCAGGGAGAAATGCCATGATGCTTTCAGGGCATCCCCTGGGTACCAGCATCCCTTGCCCAGGGATAGGGCTCAGTTCCTGTGCCCGGTGGGTCTGGCCAACATCCGTTCACCCATAGGTGCTGCGGGATGCAATGGCAAAAATACATTAAATATTTTCCTTCCTTTTTCTAGCATTTTCTGTGACCAGCTGAGGGCGTACCGAGACCGGGTAACGAACACAAGCCAGAGCAGGGTCCAGAGGCCGAGAGAGCTCTGCTACCTCTGGGAAAGGAATGGGCTGTTAGGCGAGGATGGAGCAGGATGCAAGCTTAGGCTTTCCTCCTGTCTTTGCACTGTCTCATCACAGGTCCCTGCAGTGAATGGTTTTCTTTAATTAAGACTCCATGTCCTGGAGTCATCAGACCACGCCAAAGGCTCAATTAGGAGAAGCAGGGGTATTAAAGAGAAAAGAAGTTTTGAGCTCTCCTAATTTCAGAGATAGGAGCTCACAGCTCACCTGGCAAAGCATACCTGACAGGGACAACATACCCAGCCCTAGAGGAGCACCAGTATTCGAGCACTGCTCTCCAATGGGCTAAGGATGGACCCTGTGGCTGGAGGAAGTCACCCTGAAAGGACCCATCACCTCCTTCATCCCAGACCCCAGGGGCCATGGGCTCTGTTCTCCCTCATGAAGGTAAACTGGGGCTTGTCAAACCCAAAATCCTCTCTAGCATAGTGCGGTTCCTGCAAGTGGGTCTGCCTCCCTGCCAGGTCCCCTTCTCACCCTGCCTCCTGCAGTGAAGTTCCACGGAGGGTATTTTACCCCCCTTTTTCCCCCTTTTTGCTTTTTGCTTCCCATCCCACCCCCAGGGCAAAGTGCTAAAGGTGATGGTAGCCCCAGGAAGTGCTGTCCAACCCTGGTCTCCTGGTGTGTGGCTACAAGGACTCTTGCGGGAGAGTTCCCCTCTTACTCCCAGCTCATGTACTTCCAAGAAAAGCAATTTACTTGCTGCTAGGGGCAAAGCAGTGGGATGGACGTGCTGCCCAGTGCTGGGCCCTTCCTGGCTGCAGTGATTCCTGTAATGGATGGACATTGGTGCAGGCGTGATGTCTCCTTGGTCAACAGGGGAAGACAAGGCTGGGGTACAAGCTGTGCAGATGCCTCCCTGTGAGAGATCCCTATTAAAGCGCTATAGAAAGCTCCTGCAATGGCCTCACTAGCAGTTTGGGGCATGAAGGAAAGTGTGTGTGCAAAGCACACGATGGGGTGACACCGCCCAAGCGACCAGCTCAGGCCCCCAGGCCCCCCTCCCTCCCCATGCTGGGGGGAACACTGCATCCTTTGTGCCTGTGGTGAAATCCAGGGAACTGGGTCATCAAAGGAGGAAAACTCACTGCTGGGTTTTGTTTCCACGTGTGTGACTAGGTCCCTGGAATGGCAGCAAGGGTGAGCCTTCTAAATCCCCCCCAAAGCCTCCCAAATTAAAACTGGCGCGCACTCAACGACCTCCCAAATCTCAGCCACTGACCTGGGCTGCCCCCAGCTCAGTGGGGCGAGAGGCTGCAGCCAGGTCCCTCTGCCCCTTATTAAAGGTCTCTCAGCAGAGGGGAGAAGAACAACTTTATTTTCCCATCCAGTGGCCAGAAATGCTGAGCATGGGCCTTTCCTCCAGTACGCCGAGTGCCCGGCGAGCTCCTCGCTCACAAACAAGCAGCCGCCTCCGGCCATGAGGCCAAAGGTAAATGATCTGCTCCTCCAGCAATGGTGTTCCCAGAGGGGGGAAAGGTCTGGTGGTGCCCACGCTTCTTATCCAGGGACACCCACCCTGTGTGCAGATACCCCTGAGGTGCCCATGGAGGCACCCAAACCATGCACATGGCATAGAGTTAATATGGGGAATGCCTGGGATGGAGGGGGGGTGTGATTAGCCATCCCAAAGCCTTCCACCTCTCTATGCAACAAGTCAGGAGCTTTGCAGGGTCTTCTCGGAGCCATGGCTGGGATTTGGTGGATGTTCACCAAGCCCTAAAGGGCTAGAACAACAAACATCTTCCTGCTGAGCTGGCACAGTTCTCACCAACTCTTCTCCCTGAGACCAAATGCTTCCTCACGCATCCTCCTGCCTCTAACTCTTCACACTCCTCACTCTCAGCCTCCTAACCTGCTTCTATTCTTCTCCCCTCTATGCTGTCCCCTGGTTTTGGTGGCCTTAGCGTTAAGCAAGGAGAAGGACCAGCTCCTGGCTGGCTATGGTCCCTGGAGCAGACACTTAATGTGTAACGAGGGACCCATTGGTCCAGCAAGGAGAGATGACAGATTAACCCAGTTTAGAGCCAAAGAGCAGTGGGTTTGCTGGTAAACTGTTGTGTTCCTGCAATCTTCAAATGCCTTTAATGAGTTATTATTTAGTCCGCTATGGAGGTTAATGGGGGGACACTGCAGAAATGATCTGTGATTAATTAAACTATCTTTACCAGGCGCAGGCAGAGCAGCTGGACTCTCTGGGCTGGGCACTAAGCTGGGACCAGCAGCAGATCTCCGACTTCAGCATCGCTCCTGGCACTGAAGTCACTAATTTCACTGGTGGTCAAACCATGTCCTACAGACCAACAGCCATCTACACCCTGTCAGGAAAGAGCTGCCAGAAACAGGAAGTTTTCCATTTTTTTATGCAGCACCAAAAAGCCAGACTTTGTCCAGTTTGCCACCAGTCCATGTGAGATGCATCCTCCTTCCCCAGATATTGAGTGCCAGGCTGGAGGCAGACTGTGGCCGAGCTGCTCCTGTGCTTCCCCCCGGATTTGAGGACACTGGCTGGTCCCAACATCAGCTGCTCCATGTCCCCTTTCCTTCAGCAAAGACGCCGGTTGAGATCAGCGTGTCCATCTTCCTCCTTCATGGCCTATGGTGCTGGTCTCTTCTCAGAGGTAATTAATGACAGAACGAGAGGGAACGGCTTCAAGCTCCAACAGGGTAGGTTTAGACTGAACATTAGGAAAGAATTTTTCACAGAAAGAGTGGTCGGGCATTGGAATAGG